TGAAATCCGCCGGACCGCAAGCTCTCTTTACATACGTGCCACTTGTCCGAGTGGAGGCAGTAGAGCCAGAGAGAGGGAGGGAGGGAGTGTAACGTTAGTGAGAGGTGGGGCGGATGCGTTGTACAGCACAAGAAACCCTAATGAAAAGAACAGAAAGTTGTGAACACTTAAGAATTCGGGAGAAATGTGCTCTGCGGTTTACTACTACTGTACCACAGCGTGCTGCGTGGTCACTTTCAGACCACGGACAGTTCACACTGGGGTCTGATAGGGGGTGAATTGCCCTAATGTGGGACATTTTCTTGTTTTTCAGACTTCTGTGGCATATTTCGATGTGAAGCCAATGTATTAAATAACCCAACACCAAATACCATTTTAAAAACCTCAGGATGTGTCCTAATCAAATCAAAAGAGAAAATGCAGATAACACGTTCCTAAAAAAATGACAGACATATTGGTGCTCTTAGTGCAAATAGTTTGAGACAATCAGAATTCCTGACTCTAGTTTATTTTTAGTTTTCTCTCATCCTTTCTCTAATTCTGCCTCTCGCTCTGCGTCTGAAAGTCTCTCCGCGTCTTTCTCTGCTTTGCCAAATTCATTTAAATGAATCATTAGATGCATAAAATGAAGTGGATTGGCTTTATTGCTTTTTAAATTCATTCATTTTAAGACGCCTACTCCCTTCACACACAGACACACACAACCACAAAAAGCCTTCAAACCGCCATCCCCCAAAGAATAACAATTTCCCTTGGCCTTAAACATGTGGAGCTTTCTAATAGTGCATAAGACTTTTTTGAGTGACTGAAGTACTTTACAACTGTCCCACATTAGGTAAATCATACTGTCCCACTTTTTGAAACCACATTTCCTAAAGTGGGACAGATATTTTACTTTTTTAAGCACAACAGGCCAAAAAATAGCAGGATTGTTTTATTTAAAATGAATTTATACTCCTTAATATCAACTTTGCCTCCTGTTTTGATGATTGCTCCACCCTCATATGTGACCGGACAGTTGAGAAGTCATGTGATTTTGATCACACGCCATAGCTTTGGCTAACCGATAGTTTCAGTGGTGGACCTACAGGTCGATCCACCTGGGGCCACATTTAAGTAATAATGTGAACTTTCAAACAAAAAACTCGCATCTGTCTTCCCTTCTCTGCCTCCATCTGTCTATTAATCCTAACACTCTGTTTTTTCTGCAGGGCGGTCCCTACCACGACCTCCTCCACAGTGTCCTGGGGGGCGTACACCTGTTACAGACCCGACATTGGCTACGTGAGTTTCCTTTTTTATTCCACGCTCAAAAATGATGACGTTTACTGACAGAATTGAACCTGAACGGACTAGTTTCAGTGCTCTGTTAGATTTTATCCTGCATGGAATAAAGTTCTTCATTTTAGAGTTTCAATAGTTTTAAAATCATGGAAACAAAAAGCAAAGCAAAACGTGTTTTTGTCCATTTAACAAAAGGACCCAAAACTCTTAAATGTTAATTGCTGTATAAACACAAGCGGCCGAACAAGAAGAAAAATGCTGCAGAATTATGATTTAAATCAGCAACTTTGGACAGATTTATAATCCTATTCATGTATTTTTAAATTCAGCATGTTGTTGAAGTGGTCACAATACATAGCACCATTAATACACACAGTGTTTGGGTTTTTAAAACCGGTTGCAGGTGTGTTGATCTTTAAAAACTCTACGGGGAGTCATGTCCGTATTTATTTGGTCTTCTTTTAAGTTGAGGAGATCATCCTTGCTATAAAACACATGTCAGTCCACACACAGCTCTTCTCTCGTGCTGATCTGGGTCTGTGTTTGTGGTGTTTCAGGTCCAGGGCATGTCCTTCATCGCTGCCGTGCTGATCCTCAACCTGGAGGAGGCCGAAGCCTTCATCACCTTCGCCAACCTGCTCAACAAACCGTGTCAGATGGCCTTCTTCAGAGTCGACCACGAACTGGTACGCACACGCAAAGACGCACCGGCTATTATTCAGTTTGTTTACAGTTGACCCCCCTCCTTCATCTTTACTTTCTCTCTCTCGGGCAGATGTTGAAGTATTTTGCAGCCTTTGAGGTTTTCTTTGAGGAGAATCTGCCTCGTCTCTTCTGCCACTTCCAAACCAACAACCTGACCCCTGACCTCTATCTGATCGACTGGTGAGTTATTAAAGACCGCTGCCTCTCCGGTTCAGTGTTGATGTTTAAATGGGCAATCACAAGCCCAATTTAATTTTCTTATGTATTAATATCGGCACTATGAAGTTTTCAGACAAAATTAAAAGATTGTTAGTGAACTACAGTATCCACGCGCCGTTGCTTACAGTATTTAAAGCAGAACATCTTTGTTCTTTAAGGCAATTCAAAGTGCTTTACGCAAAACGATGTTGGGTGTGAATGCTGCAAGCACTCCGTTCAAACTCCAAGTTGTCCGGCTCAATGAGGAATGGGGTGCTATTACTTTTGTCATTGATACCTCGAATACTTTCCAAATTATTCAAGGTTTTCCAGGAAGATTCTCCCATTGTAAGCGAATGGAGAGACTGTCAAAATCCTCCTCATACCTACTCCGCTTTGAAAGCTCACCAGTTCAGCATACTTTCAGCTACAGACTTGGTTTAAACTGTAAATTGGTCACAAGAAGTTAATCTATTAATGATGTATTCAGCTTTTTGATATGTTTTATGGTTTGTTCACGGTCGCTGTCGAAGTTTTATGCTTTTTTTTGAGCTCTTTTCTGTATAATGGGTGTGTATTGCGTGAGTTAGAGTGGGTGACATCATCACTACAGTGTAGCAGGCTCGCAAAATCTTATTAGATTTTTCTCTTTAACTCGCTGGCTTGACCACAATTTTAACTCTTCAAGCATAATTTTACACCAGAAACGTAGTAAATTTTGTTGTGGTTCCTCACATGGCCTTTTTAAATCGCTCGGGGTTATAGATTTGTCTCTGTGTCCTTCCAAAGGACAAGAGTGACAGAAAATTCTCCATTGGCTGCCATTGTAAATAACCAGAGCGGAACGTACCAGTTTTTCAACTCGCCAAAGTGGTCTCTTTTTTCAACTTTATCCAAACAAAAAATAGATCATATTGTTCACAAATGCCTTCTGCCGCTCCCGGTGAAGTCATGTCGTCGATATGACCTATAGTTTAGTCTCTGGGGAGGTTTGATTTAGATAATTTCAGAGGGATATTCCTATGTGTCTCATTGTCTAGTTTTATCTGATATTGTGATCTAATTAGATAATTTTTACATAACATTGAAAAACACATTTAAATGGTGGATTTTTTTTCAGGATCTGTACCAAAGAAAGATGTTTCCTTAAGTGGGGATCAGACAGAAAGCGTTCTGCAGGTTCAGAAATGCGAGGCGCGCAGCAATGCCTTTTTTGGTTGAATTTGGAAAAGAGCAGTGCGCTGCGGGGTTTTTTTTTTCCATGCAGCTAGGCAACCACTGAATCAGCCGTCCTGTCAGTCTAATCTAAGATTGTAGCACCAGCGATCTGTAATCTTTGGTTTGCCGCTAAGTAATAACTGTGATATTAGCAGAAACTTGATCGCAGCTCACAGGTCTGAGTCTTTTGTTGCTAGAAACATCTGCTTTAATAAAACAGACAAACGGAGAGGCCTGCTCTGGCACTGTTTGAGTGTGTGAGGTGTACAAACGCAGGAGACGGGGAAAGGGAAATCCGAGGAGACACCGCTGGCTGTACCGCCAGCTGGTCCACGAGCTAAAAGATGGTTCAAGCCTTATTTTAGGATGAGTCAGGGTCAGACTGTTGCATCTCCGGACAATCCAAGCAAATGTAAACTTCCGTCATCACAACTGAGGGCCCGCCTCTACATCCATTCGACTGGACAATGGGGGAGGAAAAAAACACAAGTGACGTCGGGCGCTTTTCTGCCCGGACAGGACATCTCAGCAGCACGACCATATTTCATTTAAAAAGGTATTTTCACACAGTTTTTGCTTTTAACAAATACTGCCCCTCCTGGGATTTGAAAATGGCAGCAGGCCTTATTGTGATAAGATATAAATCAAATGTTCAGCCCTAACGCACACCTCCCCAAAAATGTAACCACACGTTGCGCATCACATTTCCTCCAAGCCCCCAGGAAGTGCAGACATTTTGTACTCTGTGGAAAAAAGCAGTTGCCAAATGACTTGTTTCACCATCAGAATTTGATGGTGTCGTTCCAATAATATTTGGAAACTCCAGAAGAGTCGCGTGATTATCATTTTATCTCCATTCAAGTAAGCAGAGGGCTGAACGGGAAGTTAACTGGCTTGGCTGGTGGAAGTCAACACAGCGAAACATACAAACACCAACGCTAATGAATTGAATTAAAGTTTTATTTTCATACATACAAGTAAAAGTATGTTTTTGTCCGTCTCTGTCCAGGATCTTCACCCTGTACAGTAAGTCCCTCCCACTGGACGTGGCGTGCCGGGTGTGGGACGTCTTCTGTCGGGACGGGGAGGAGAGTTTGTTTCGGACGGGGCTGGGTATCCTGCGTCTGTTCGAGGACGTGCTGCTCCAGATGGATTTCATCCACATCGCTCAGTTCCTCACCCGCCTGCCGGAGGACCTGCAGTCACACACGCTCTTCACCGCCATGGCCAACACGCACATGGTCAGCAGAAACCGCCGCTGGGCTCAGGTCAGTATCGCTCCCAGAGTTCAGGGCGAAGTTAGTGAAACGTCTCAAAATTAAAGTAATGATTGAATAATGTTTGTTTTCTCTCTCTCTCAGGTGTTTTCTGCATTGATGAAGGATGGAAATAAAGAGATGGACAAAAACACCAGCCCAGCTTTGAGAAGCTAACACTAGCTAACCTTGACGCCACCTTTCTTCAAACTAATGTCAGACGCTAGCTGTGAAAGTTGAAGCTCGAGCCAGCCAGCCAGCCACGAACTTCAGAGGTAAATGCCAGCTCGCCATGTCAGCACTTAACATCAGAGGCTGGTTGTGAAGCTTGAAGCTACGGAGCTTGAAGTGAACTGTTGCATCCAGTCGGGAGAGGGAAGAGGCGGCTGCGGCGTTCCTGAAACCTGGAACCAGAGCGGGAAACCAGAGCGGTTGGTTAATTCCGAACTTCAACTTCAGCAATTGTCAGTATTTCACCAGATAAATTATACGTTGGAGAAGATTGTTTCAGCAGCCGTGTCACCAGTTTACTAAAGTTGTAAAATCTGACTTTCAGATTATATTATGTGCTATTTCCCTGCCGGCTGGGAGGCTAGCGGTGACTCCGCCTCCACGTCGGGACACAAACACCACAAACTGCAAGCATTACGCCCTGTGTAATTCTCTTAAGACTCAAATTCAAATTTTCGGTGCTAATCATTTTCTAAAAGGGTTCAAAAGTGACTGTGGTTTAATTATTAATGAAGGTCCATGTGGTTTCGACTTCACACTATTATTCACGTGCTGCATTTCTTTAGCTTGAACCTCTGGATCTAACAGAGATGGGTTTTCTGCAGTAGCATGGCTGAGCTAATTAGCCTCCAGCTTTTTAAAATGTTCAAATGTAGGCAAAACAAAAACCACAAACACGGGAAGTTTGGAAACAACAACAACAACAAAAAAAAAAGCTGGGGGGGGGATTTAACCATTTTGTACGACGCAGTCTTTTCCAATCATTCAAATAACACAGAGCTCATCAGTGATCCTAGTTAAGTACAAGCAGAATATAACTACATAATATATGTGATTTTGATGTTTTTACAGGAAGTGATTTATTCCATTGGGTCCAAGACGTATTTTCTACATGTGTTAAATAATTTAAAGCTTCATCCTGAATATACAAATCAAACTGTTTAAGGGGGTGTAAGTGCAGTAAAGTAGTGCTGGTGAATACAGAACTTCACACACACTGTTGGTGTTTAATTTTTAGATGTTTTAGAGTAAAAAAAAAAAGGATCCTGTTTAGCACAGTTAGCTTTGCTGGTAATTCAAATGAAATGTGGATTTATCTCTGAAAGGAGCTAAAAAGACACAAGTGTCAGCTGTTGATAATGTTGTTTGGGTCCGAATGATCCATGAACATCTCTGTGGAACCACAGTGAGCAGACAGTAAATGTAGGAGCCAGGGGCCATCGCCCTTTTCATCAGTGTTTTAAGGACCAGATTTTCCCTCCGAGCACTTTATAAATGCAGCGCTGCAGCTGCATCATGAACGCTGGCTTACACAGAGAGAGAGAGAGTTCAAACTGAATGAACGGCGCGCTAAGTGCCTCACTGTTTCCTCTGTCCGTGGTTAGAGGGAATGAAACTAGACGGCCAAGATTGCCAATTAGAAAACGTAAAAACATCATAGAAATACTGGAACAACAACACGGCTTTTAGCTTGAGAATGAAGATTTGTTTATTTTTTTGCAGCAGAGCTTTTCTCGCTTGTTTCATCGTCTGTGAAAGTACAAAAACGCACTTCAGCAGCAGACTGGAAGTTGTGTTGATGAAGAACTCCTAAACGCCTGCGCACGTTTGTATAGCATTTTTATACGAGGAAGGGAAAATGTTTTTACTGAAGCACCACGTATGTGTCGGCGCCGGAGTTTGTCCCTTTTAGATCTTCAGGCCTAAACGTAACTCGCTCTCGCCAAACGCTCCTCCACAGTTGTTGTTTTGTTCATGTCTGCTGCTGACTTTCCTTCACGTTGTCCTCCCACTGTTTATTGGCTCAACTGCAAATTGCAGACACGCATCAAGCCGAAACAGTCAGTCAGCTAATCAATTAGTTGACCAACAGATATTTCGATAATTGATTAATTGTATCTCAAACATTCTCTGAATCTGCTTTTCTTTATGTTACTTTAAACAAAACAAGACATCAACCCTGGGACAACAAATAGGATGCAACTAATGATTGTCGTCAATATCCATAAATCTGCTGGGTATTATCTTGATTAATTGTTTGCTCTAAAATATGTCATAAAACTGTCCAATGCAATGTCCCAGAGTACAACAAGATGTCTTCTTACTACATGTTTTGTTTCGACCAACAGTCCAAAACCGACAATGTTCAATTTACTCTCATAGAAGCCTTAAAAAAAAAAAAACTCTCAGAATATATCCAAATTAATAGTTTTTAGAGCTGAAACAGTCGATTTAACATAAAACTAATCCATTAATCAAGAAAATAATCTGTTGATTAATAATGAAAATAACTAACTTCAAGGACGCACACAAACTGCCCCCCCGTCTCGGCGGCCTGTTGAAGTGCTTTACATCACCTCCTTCTCCGCTCTGTGTTTAACACTCCTCTGACTCACCACACACTATAACTGTTAACCTCCACTTCATCCCTACCTCTCGATAACGACACACACTCAACTGATGACGACACTTTCCACTGAGCCACCAGCAAATGAGCAGGCCCTAAACACGTGGACCAAGCAGCCACTCCGTCGTCTTCTCACAGTTTCAGCTACCGCGATGACTGCAGCTATTCTCGGGTTGTTAAAGCAGAAAACTCGCTGCAGGCGACGAGCAACCCTGGAGGAAGAGAGAGGAAGAGGAGGCGGCAGAAAGAGACAACGTCAAACTGATTTTATTTATTTAAGTTCTACCCCAGTTAAGTTCTTTTTTTGTAGTGAAACTAGTTATTAAAGGATAATTTCTGTATTTTTAAACCCTGTTTTCACATATGTTGGTGTTGAATTGACAGTTTTTAATCCGTGCTGTAGATGTCTTCAGACGGCAGCAGAACCGGCTGCTACGTTTTCCTTCGGGGCAACTGCGCCCGTCAAAATGGCGTCCACAAAAGGTGCTTCTTTTTGCCAGCGACAGGCTCAGACTGGTGTCATGACAACATCATGGAAAGGATCCCTACGAGGGACTCCCGGTGACCCCCTTTGTTTTTAACAGGAAACCGAAGTCTTGCTTTAGGACTGTTCTCGCTCTGAAATCTCTCGAGAGGTGAGCTGTTGCAGGAAGACGCCGGTGGAAACGAGGGAGAGGAGTTAGACTTTATTTCCTAACGTTACTCCGACACAAAACTCCTCTTTCCAGCTCCGACTCACATTTCCATCACTGTCTTCCTGCATCAACTCGCCTCTCATGAGATTTCAGAGCGAGAACTGTCCTTAAGCGAGACTTCGGTTTCCTCTTAAAAACAAAAAGCGTCCCCAGGAGTCCGTCGTAGGGATCCTTTACTTGATGACAGTCTGAGCCTGTCGCTGGCAAAAAGAAACACTTTTTGTGGACAACATTTTGACGAAGGAGTAAACTGCAGCCAGTTCAGCTGTCGGCTGAAGACATCTACAGCACTGACTCAAATTTTCTGTACCTACGAGTCATTTCTTCACCAAAATATGTGAAAATAGGGCCCAGGTTTAAAAATACAGAAATAAACCTTTAAGTTATTGTTGCTATTTTTCATGTTTCATGATAACTAGCCAGTTCTCCTTTATTATTATTTTATTTCAAACAAACCAAAAAGAAAAATCACTGCAGTAGAAAAGAAAAGGGAACGATTAATTACTGCAGCAAATCTGCAACGAACCAAACGCAGGTTGTGTCACTGCTGTTTTGTAGAGCAATAAAATGGAAATTAATTGATGGCAGAGAAAACAACAAAATAAAACCAGTTTGAAAGAAGACTATGAGGTGTTACGAGAAGGGGTCATTTTTTCCTCCAGGTTGCTGCTTCGGGGAGTTTTTCTGCATCATGCCACTGTTACACCAAATAACTCCAGACTTAAGGGTTTATTTATAACCAGAAGAGGGGATATATTTATGGTTGCTTTACGTTCCTAAATGCAGTGTGAAAACTACAGATGAACTCTTCGCTTTACACCAAGACACAGCCTCATAATCTTTCTCAGCTGTTTGGGAAGTCAGCTGCGGAAGAAGCGTTAATTAAGCACTTGAAAATAAAAAGACTGGGAATGAATTCAGTTTATAAAAAATGTTTTTCCCCCCCAGAGTATTTGCAGTCTATGAAAGAGCATCAGCCGCTGTTTTAATCACACCGCTTTTCAAGGCTTGTTATCAAAACTCCTCCAGTGGATCTACACACTTCTCTTCCCTTAATGAATCAGAGAAGGCAAGATGAAAACAATTAGCACTCTGTGAACATGAGCTGTTTTGTTTTTACAGGTACACTAATTACACTGAGTGCAGCGATGCTCAGTGATGCAGAGAAACAGGCTTGTTAGCTGTTAATAAAATCTTTTCCCATTAAGGTAATTTCCCATTATTGTAATGCCAATTTTCGGGTAAAAGTCTCTAATAAATAAACAGGTTTCTTCTCCATTAATCCATCTTGAAATCTCAGTTTTAGCCTAATAACTGTTGGTGTTGTAACACAAACTAACTCTGGTGGGTTTCTGTATGAACACACTTATTTCAGCACACCTGTGAGTTTTGGGGCGACACGAGTTTAACGTGGCACTCCTCGACGCACACACACACACGTGTTGAAGATAAAAGTGCAAAATGGTCTTTGCATTGCCAGTAATTCAGTGTAATTACCCAGAATCCTCAGCAGGTTGGTTTAAACGTTCCCTCGTCTCGCTTCACTCCAGATTATTGATGAAACGTTCAGACAGCTGCAGAGGGAACGTGATTAATGTGATATTTCTCCCCAGGTGTTCCATGTAATCATTGTATTTAAGTTTCATCTCGGCTTTGTGTTTTATACTTTTATGTACATTCATTTAGCTTTTTGTGTGTGTTTGTTTTGTCAGATTTCAGTGTACAGTTTTTTTTTCATAATGCCTTACAGGTGTTGTAAATAAACTGTAAAAATGTTTCTTTCTTTTCATATAATAGCCACTAGGTAAATGTGTAAATAAATATCTAAACAAACTGAGTCCCGTCTGAGCTGTAACTCTTGGAGGGATTCAGCTGAAGGGTCAAAGAGCGACATCTGCTGACGTCTTTGACAAATTACATGTTTAAAATGTCTTCAGAAAGTGAAAACAAAGTTCATCCTTGACCCTGGGGAAAAAGTTTGACAAAATAAAACTCTTCTCACCAGCTGTTTCCCGGCACTTTGAATGGAGTTGGCTCACTGAGGGAGATGCAGTCGACAGCTCTGGAAGAAGTGGGCCTTCATCTCATGTCGCCTTTTCCCTAGTGAATCACATCCCGTCACTACGCCTGTTAAAAACAGAAGCAAACTTTTATAAGTTATTGTGCAGCCATGAAAATCTCTTTTCCCCTCTGTGCTGTTTGTAGATAATGTAAAACCTCTAAATGTAATAAAATCTCCCGTCTTTATGGACTAATAATCTGATCAGATCTGCTGATGTAGCTGGCCATTCAAATAATCAGTCACATCCATAGATTAAATGACTCTTACAGCCGCAAGATGGTTTTACCTGATGTGGTGATGTAGATCATTTACTAATGATGCAGCTCTGTGAAACAACCTTCATTACAGATCATTTTAAACTACTTGTAAAATTAAGAGTAATGTAAAATACACAAAATTATGTGAATAAACATCAGAGCGGCAGAAGAAGACATACTATTAATCCCAAAAAGGGGAAATTCAATGTTTTTTCACTCTGTTGTTAATGTTAGTATTATACGTTCACATATTCACTTTAAATTAGGTGCCTGGTATATAAGGAAAACTGTGTCGTAAGATTACAGGAATTATTATAATGAAATAGTATTTTATTTGTCTATTTTATTGATTGTAATTTAAAAATGCATAATGTTTTCTCCACAGATTAAAAAGGAGATAATAGGGCGACATCATTTAAACACTCAAAAACCAGGATAATCTAAGTAAAAGTCCTGCAATCAGTATTCGACTTTGATAAAATTATTTACAGCAAAAGGTACCTTAGTTTAAAAGTACTCTCTGTGTAATATTATATTATTAAATCATCACAATACTGTTGGTTTTAATCTGTAAAACCTGTATCAAAAGTTACTACAGCAAATAAACATGGTTGAGTTAATCATTTAATGCTGTACAAACAGGTGCATCTCAAATAAACTGAATATCTTGGTGATTCCAACTCATGGAAATCAAAATTAATAACAGATCTGAGAAGAGCACTAATCAGCTGATTAACTCAAAAGTACTGCAAAGGTTTCCTGAGTCTTCAATCTCTGTTTGGTGCAGTAAAGTTCAAACTATGTTATATTTTACTTTATTTTAGATGCACCTGTAACATTGTAGTAAGTTGAATAAGTGGCAAGTACCTCAAAATTGTACTCAAGTAGAGTACTTAGGTGAATGTACTTTCCACCAGTGCTCAGTTCCACTGATCTATGAGCGAACTACAGTTATTTTACTTGTGCCATAGTGTTGGAGGAAGTTGTGCTGTGTGCAGTTCAGACCACTAGATGGAGTCTGATGACCACCTGCTCTCAGTGGACACTGGTGATCCTCAGGTTACTGTGAAGCATGGTTGTATTTATAATTTTTTTTACACATAGTAAAGGCATGAAGCTACAATCACTAGGCCAGGCTTTTATTAGCTTCAATACCTGAACTCACCCTGCACAAATCTGCAAGATGGTCTACCAGTCTAAATATTACTTGCATGAAAATGAGTTCTTTTCTCACTTGTTTACCATACCAGTAAGTCGTTGTGGAGAATCTAACTGATAACATGGTTCAAGTTCATACTGACAAACGTTTAAACATTTATATTTGTATGTGCGATCAAAGCAGCTTAGAAGCAGCTCAAGAAGGCGACCCGGTGGGCTTCAAGAGGTTTTTATTCATCCAGAGAACTTCTGTAAAAACCAGACCAGGTGTCTGATTGAGACCTGCGTATTTTTGTCAAAACTTGTAGCCACACCCGGAAAGTTTTATGTTAGTTTAATGTTTTACGAATGTTTTTCTGCTTAATGTTGACACAGCAGTGCTGCCGTTTCAAATCGGACAATGTTATCTTCTAGATAAATAATTCACTGCATGTTAATATTATTATTAGTCTCACTCCGTGGCACATTTATAAGAGTTGTAGTTTATTGATAATACTGTTAAGAGGAGGAGGTGATTCAATTCCACTGTCCAGTACAGCAGCAGATGTGACACAGAAAGACAGATGAAAGTGACCCTGCACATATACTCTCAGAAGAAGCTCTCATTTTCATAATAAATGGTCCTGTGCACCTTTTGTTACAATCTTTTCAACTTCACTTTTAGTTCAGCTGGTTTTGTGCGTAGGTTACATACCTAGAAGAGATTAAATCAGGATCCAAATCGGATCATGTTTAAATCTGAGTGTGAACATCTGTGGTTTGAACCTCCTGGCAGTGATTTCGGTCGGAGCGGTGCAGATAAACAGCGACCACACTCAGGGATCTCAGGTATTTCCGAGGCCTGCGGTGGAAGGAGTGAGGCGAGGCCGCGAGGGGCCTCCCGCCGCATCTGAGCGAGAGGAAGAATCTGTGGAGGTATTTGGCGGCAGTCTGGGGGCTTTCCTGTGGAGGTGGGGCTGAAGGGGAAGAAAGAGCCTGGTGCCTCGGGGGCCTCTGGGATATCACAGCAGGAGGCGGGGAGGCCGAGGTCAGGGCAAAGGAGGCTGCGTGGAGGGGAATGGATTGTTTAAAGACCAGGGAAAAAAACCACCAACAGCAAAAAAGTGTAAATCTGTACAAAACAAAACTGCACACTCACAAATAAATCAAATGTCAAATCAACCAGCTGCAGTGTGGATATGATGATTTAACATGATGCAGAGCTTGAGGGAAATGTTTGCTTTATTTTATAGCATAACTGAAGGATTTGAGACTAATCATTAATTCAGTGGTTTATTTTTAATGTGATATCATGGAATAGTGTGTAAATAGCATGTCCCTTTTAAGCGCATTTCGGCGTGCCATGTCAACGCATTTTAAGTTTTTCGCGTGTCATTGCACGCTGTTTAGACTGCATCGTGTAACCAGCTGACGTTAGTAAGGATGTAGCATGGTAACTTCCATTGCGTAACATAGCTAGTGATAGCAAGGATGTAGCATGGTAACTTCCGTAGCGTAACGTTAGCAAGGATGTAGCATGGTAACTTCCGTAGCGTAGCTAACGTTAGTAAGGATGTAGCATGGTAACTTCCATAGCGTAACATAGCTAGTGATAGCAAGGATGTAGCATGGTAACTTCCGTAGCGTAACGTTAGCAAGGATGTGGCATGGTAACTTCCGTAGCGTAACGTAGCTAACGTTAGCAAGGATGTAGCATGGTAACTTAAGTAGCGTAACGTTAGCAAGGATGTAGCATGGTAACTTACGTAGCGTATCGTAGCTAACATTAGCAAGGATGTAGCATGGTAACTTACGTAGCGTAACGTAGCTAACATTAGCAAGGATGTAGCATGGTAACTTACGTAGCGTAACGTAGCTAACATTAGCAAGGATGTAGCATGGTAACTTACGTAGCATAACGTAGCTAACATTAGCAAGGATGTAGCATGGTAACTTACGTAGCATAACGTAGCTAACATTAGCAAGGATGTAGCATGGTAACTTACGTAGCTAACATTAGCAAGGATGTAGCATGGTAACTTACGTAGCGTAACGTAGCTAACATTAGCAAGGATGTAGCATGGTAACTTACGTAGCGTAACGTTAGCAAGGATGTATCATGGTAACTTAAGTAGCGTAACGTTAGCAAGGATGTATCATGGTAACTTATGTAGCGTAACGTAGCTAACATTAGCAAGGATGTAGCATGGTAACTTACGTAGCGTAACGTTAGCAAGGATGTATCATGGTAACTTAAGTAGCGTAACGTTAGCAAGGATGTAGCATGGTAACTTATGTAGCGTAACGTAGCTAACATTAGCAAGGATGTAGCATGGTAACTTACGTAGCGTAACGTTAGCAAGGATGTATCATGGTAACTTAAGTAGCGTAACGTTAGCAAGGATGTAGCATGGTAACTTATGTAGCGTAACGTAGCTAACATTAGCAAGGATGTAGCATGGTAACTTACGTAGCGTAACGTTAGCAAGGATGTATCATGGTAACTTAAGTAGCGTAACGTAAATACAAACCAAAAGCTGTTGTTTTGGAACGGCGGGCTCCTGGGTCAGGGACCAACTCACTATCGACCCGACGCCCCCTCCACCACCTTAGTGTTGGACTGTTATGGCTATTTATATTCCACACACGCTGATTTTACCTGTGACAGTAGGCGTAAAATGGCACGCCGTTTCTGCACAATACCACGCCAAATGACTTCAGGAAACTGCGTGTTATTCATACGCCTTCTGATAATACCAGGCTGTTAAACGCCAGCTAAAGAATAAAGTCTACGCTTCACAATCATAATTCTACCACGCCTGCTTTCTCTGCAAGTTGTTAAACTTCTTTTTTTAAAACCTACAGTAATTTATTACATCTTAAGGAAAACATTTTGCTTTGTTTGTCAAGTTTCTAAATGTTTGTCCATTTGTCAATGTTTGATTTATTCTCACATCATAGTGTCTTTACAAAACAGTAGATATTCATTTCTTATACGCCAACTTTATACTATACAAGGTTGTTTATTAGTCATTATTCAGCACAAGGCTGCAAAATGAAACAAAATTTGTAGTTCCTTCGTGCTACACACACACACACACACACCATATAACTTAAGTGTAGGCCTATTTTAAATATGGTAACATCACAACAACATATTCATATACAGGCACACAACGTCCAGCCCGAACATCCCACAGTGCGTTTTTTGAATTTGCATCAGGGGTGAATGTAAACAGCAGCAACCAGATGATAATATGAAAGTTTCATCTTCACAGTTAGACTTTGGGAAACAGAGTCCATCTTGACTGCGTTTGAGCACCGAGCGTCATTGATGTAAAACAGAGAGTCGACTTCCTCATCTTGCCGGAGTCTTGCGCTGACAGCTCGGAACATGAACCACCTGCAGAGCGCTTGATCCGGGATCTGGCAGGTCTCTGTAACGATGTGGGCACAACAGTCTCTGAATTCTGTTATCTGGTCGACACGAGTCCCATTTTGTCCAGACCGGATCTTTAGGAGCAGAATTAAGTCCAAGCTGGGCCACCATGGCTCCTCTCCTGGATCGCTTTCCTCTCCTCTGAGCGACCTGGGTGGATCGTGGTCTGCTGCTCTTTAATCCAAAAACCCGTCTTCATCTTCCAATGACTATGTATCTCTAATGTATCTATGTCAGAGGTAACGCAGGTTTCGTCAAGAAAGCCGGAAAAAAATGATTAAAACCAAAAAAGTAGCAAAGTTCGAAAGAGCTACCGGCTGCTGCTTCTACAAGCGCTTTATATTATGAATATTATAACGTACAAGTGCATGTTTTACAGAACATATACACACAGCTCATGTCTTTTGAAAAACTAGTGGTTGAACTGAGCTGCAGTGATGTAGGCGTGTACTCCAGGATGCGTCTGTCCAGTGTGATTTCACTGCTCAGGTGAGGTCACAGGTGCGAGGTGTTTGATTACTGTCCGATATGGGTCCGTTAAAAAGTCAGTTCATCCAAAAAGCATTTTCCCTCTTGGCTGTCTGGGAACTCATTTATTACATCTCAGTTCTTTAGAAGCACTTGTCTCAAGGAGCAGACTTTGCGGCGTTTGCGGTTTCACAGTCATTTGCACCAGATTATGCCTAAAACATTTGCAAGCATCCCGACTTTAACACTTATCTAATGACATAAACTCGGCCCAGGTTTGCAGATTGCAGAATAGCTGCACCTCTTCTGCAGCAGTCTGGGTTTTCTGAACATTCACGTCCTTGATAAGTATGGAAATGGGCATGACAAACAAGTATACAGATATATATTTTTTTTATTTGGCGTTCAGGAGGAAAAGGAAAGGAGGAGGAGGAGGAGGTGAAAAGGAAAACACAAGAGAATAGAAGCAGACTACGGGTCAACACGGCGTTTCCTGTCCTCTGGGATGTCTGGTAGCTCTGGATGACTGAATCACTCATCTCTCCTCCTGCACTCTTTCATCTCTCCCTTCGCTCTCTCCCTCCTCCTCCGCTCATCACTCCGTCACCACAGGCTGTTTGGTTTCAGTCCACATCAACCTCTGCAGAGGGCCCGCCAGCGATCGCACCACCGCTACCACACTATTTGATTGACAGGCTCTTAAAACAAGAATAGTCTCGGCTTCACAGCGTCTTCGTCAGGGTGCAGCTGATCAAAGATTAGAAGTTATATAACATTTACAGACAATACACTGGAAGGAAGCTTTCCACTGAAACTAAGCCTACTGTTTGTAATATAAATGTCACATGTTTATCCTAATTTGTGGTCACTTCATCATGTAAAAAGGAAAAAAGTTTCTTTTTGTTGGATTGTTTGTATGTTGTTTATTTTATAGTGGTCGGGTTTCCTTTGATATGAGATCCATGTTGTTTGGATATTCTGAGCCTTAGTATAGTTGCAAAATTATAAAAATAAATAAATTAACACAAACAAGAAAGGAATTTGTGTACTCGCATGTCTTTTTCTTGTTTCCATCTGTTGTACTGTATATGGCACCACAAAGTTCCCATCATGCTTTAGGTGATTTAAACAGGGGGCTTCACCTGAGCCCAAGAGTTTTCAGCCTACGTTTGATAATATTTCATTAACATTAGAAATTGCTGGATCTGATGATGATAAATCATTAGCAGCTCCTGTACTGTAATGCTGGATGTACAGACAGACCTCAACATCTGACAATATAAGGAGGCTTTTGTTTACTTTTTAAAAACACGTCTATTCCCAAAAGAAGTTAAAGAAACACTAAAAGAATTTCAGCAGTATTCAAGGTTGATTGTATTTGTCATTTTACAACACAGGGTTGTTGGTGATATGGAAGTTTTAGTTCCCTTTGTTCTACTGAAAAGCAAGAAAATATATACAAAGGAAAAAATAAATACAGTAAATGGTGATTAATAAGTCATAAAATAGCAAAAACGTTCTTCATTATGGGGAGCGGCTGATGAATTAAGGGGTCTCGCAGCCTGAGGGAAAAAGCAGTTTACCACAGCGGATACTATGTTGAGTCTGATGAGTATGTTGATTTTTGACTCAAAATGCGGCTGCTAGCTATTTAACCAACACGTCCTCACAGCTAAACCACAAGAGTGTCAATTTTAAATTGTTCCAAAACAACAAATATGACTGGAAAGTTCTTTTATTTAAAGTGTTTTGGCCTTTTGCATCATTTGCTGGTTTGGCAATGCTACTGAGGCACAGAAAAAGTCGAGAAAAACGGTAACAACGGCCAGTAAACTATTAGGGATTAAGTTACCAAATATGCTATCTATAGGGAAAGAATAATAAACAAGGCAAAAACCATTGTTGGAGACAAGAGGCGCACCCCCTTGCCCCTTCTGTTGAACTGTTGCCATCTGGGCGACGATATTGCCTCCTATTTACCAAAAATTGATCAAAATCTCCATTTGTGCCTCAAGCAAGTAGTTTTAAACAGGTAATGCAAATATATAGCCAAATAGGCAGGTTGCTCAGCTGGTCTGGTCTGCCTAATTTAATCGGTAGTAAGGTGCAGGGTATCTTTGATGTTATATCTGGGTCGTATGATGTAATGCCTA